GACTCGCACCGCGCCCCCCTCCTCCTAATTACCTCTCCCCAGCGCCCCCCAGCGGCCCATTGGAACCTCCGCACAGCGCCCCCCCCGCCCCGAACATTCTATTCCGCGTCGCACCGCGCCCGCCCCCTCCCCGCCCCCCGCACGCCCCCCCCCCCCCCAGCGTTCCCCAGCGGCCAGGCGGAACCTCCGCCCAGTACCCCCTCCGCCCCGACCGACCATTTTGTTCCGCGTCGCACCGTGCCCCCCCCTCCCCGCCCACCTACCTTTCCCCGGCGTTCCCCAGCGGTCCAGTGGAACTTCCGCCTAGTGCCCCATCCGCCCCGACCACTTGATTCCGCGTCGCACCGCCCCCCCCCCCTTCCCCGACCCCTCGTACCCCTCTCCAGCGTTCCCCAGCGGCCCAGTGGAACCCCCGCCCAGTGCCCCCTCCGCCCCGACCGTTTTTTCCGCGTCGCACCCCCCCCTTCACCGCGCCTTTCCTACCCCCCTCCCCGCTCTCCATGCCAAACCACCCCGGCATTCCTGAGCGGCCCAGTGGGACCTTCGCCCGCCCAGTGCCCCTTCTGCCCCAACAAATGTATTTCACGTCGCACCGCGCCCCCTCTCCCCGCCCCCTTCCCCCATCCACAGCGTTCCCCAGAGGCTCAGTGGAACTTCCGCCCAGTGCCCCCTCCGCCCCGACAGTTTGATTTCGCTTCGCACCGCGCCCGCCCCCTTCCCGCCCCCCATCCTTTCTCTCTCCCAGCGTTCCACAGCGGCCCAGTGGAACCTCCGCCAATTGCCCCCCTCCGCCCCAACCGTTTTATTCCGCGTCGCACCGCTCCCCCCGCCCTCGCCCCCCATCCCCCATGTCCCCAGCGTTCCCCAGCGGCCCACTGGAACCCCCGCCCGCCCGGTGTCCCTTCCGCCTCCGTTTCGGGTTCCCGGGGAGTTTTTGTGGGATCCACAGTCGATTTCGTGGGTGCTTCTTGGAGGCCTCCTGGGAGCATGTTGGAAGTCCTGGAGGTCATCTCGCGGTGGAGGGTCTTTGGAGCCTCCTCGAGCTCGCCTTGTCAAGCCCATATTGCGGCCTTATTTGGGCCCTCCTCCGTTTTCTCGTGCCCTGTATCCCTTCCCCGTCCTCCTCCACCTCGTCCTCCTCCCCCCTCCCTTTTTGTGCAAGAGCCATGCTGCGCGTGCCACTTGTATTCAAAAATGATAAGACATACTAGGTGGATGACTTGTGGTTATGTGTTGGATCATGTTTTGGCATTTTGGAGATAGTCTTACTGTTCCTCCAAAATCCGCCTGTAGAGAGACACGCCTGACCTAACGCTACCTCCAAAAAGGTGTGTGAATGTGTGTGTGTGTGTGCGTGTGTGTGTGTGTGTATGTGTGTGCGTGCGTGCGTGCGTGTGCGTGTGCGTGTGCGTGTGCGTGTGCGTGTGCGTGTGCGTGTGCGCGTGCGCGTGCGTGTGCGTGTGCGTGTGCGTGTGCGTGTGCGTGTGCGTGTGCGTGTGCGTGTGCGTGTGTGTGCGTGTGCGCGTGCGCGTGCGCGTGCGCGTGCGCGTGCGCGTGCGCGTGCGCGTGCGCGTGCGCGTGCGCGTGTGCGTGTGCGTGTGCGTGTGCGTGTGCGTGTGTGTGTGTGTGTGTGTGTATGTGTGTGTGTCTGCGTGTTTTCCGCAACACAACATGGGCATCGCGCCGTGCCACGCCGTGCTAGGGGACGAGCTTGCCCTCCCGTTCATCGGGAGGGCGTCTCCGATGTGCGGCAGTTGCCCCAGAAGAACATGGTGATCGACGTCGCCGCCAACGATCGTTATGCAGTTGCCGCTGTGCGACTTCGTTCACGTCCGCAGCCCTCTTCAAACCACCGCCTTGGCGATGGGACTCGTGGACTTGGCAACTCGATCGACTCATCGCTGTCCAGGATTCGTTCGACTCCCCGACCCATCAGTTCATCGTTGTCCACGACTCATCGGCTCCACTACTCGATCGGCTTATCGATGCTGTCCGCGACTCGATCGGCTCATCACTGTCCACGATTCGATCGACTCCACGACGTGCGTGCCGATGGTTGCGTTCGGCGTCGATCGTTCTGCCATAGCGATCCCGAAAAATAGTTGCCCCCCATAGTTCGAAGGTGGACCCAGTCGGCCCGATGCCACGAGCGACTCGATCGACCTGTAATCGACGGGAGCGGCGTATACAAGAGGCTTGGTGGCCCCACCCTCGCACCGGAGCGGAGTGCCGCACGTGCCCATGGAGGCCAGAGCAGGGGCACTCGACGCCGTATCTTTGGATCGGGTCGCTCATCAAGCTCCGTCCAGGTTTGCCTCCCCCCCCCACCCCCCACCCCCCTGGCAACGAATGACGTCAAACCATTAAAACCACGTGAGCGACGCAAGAAAACAGGGTCGGCTGCGCCGGCATTGGCGCGCAAGCTCCCCGCATGAGGTCGCGCGTACGCACCCTCGTGTCCAGTGTATCGTGCCGCGCTGGCGGCCCGCGTAAGTCGCCGCGTCCGGTAACTGCGCCATCTCGCGCAAGACCCGTTCTTGCTCGTCGCTCACGCGGGGGGGAAAGGCGGCATGGGCGCCCGCAGGGGCGAGGAAGCCCAGTGGCATGCGCAGCGCCGGCCCCGTCCCCGTGCTCCGCTCCCGTGTGGTGTGCTTCTCTGCCCGCGCGTCTGGTGGGGGAGGCAGCGGCGTTCGGGCGCAGCCGCTCTCTGCCGTGGGCGGAGAACGCGTCCGACTCCGCGGCCTCGCCAGCGTGGCCCTTGGGCCGCGACCCCGCAGGTGCTGAGCGTTGTCTCGCGGATGCCCCGCTCGGAAGGCATCCGTACGACCGCGCATTCGAGGGGTCGCGCCCCGGAATCCGACTCGGATCTGTTCGCAGCTCGTGATCCTCGTTCGTGCCCCGCACGCGTGCTACTGAGTCCTGATACCCGCTCCGAGGCAAAAGGTGCGCAGTGCCCATCGCCTACACCCTATCGTTTCCTCCGACTGGACGCTGGCGCCGAGTTGTCACAGCCGTCGCTTCTCGCCCTGCAGGACACAACGTCGAAGACGGATCGATTGAGCACCTGCCCGTCGCCGACCAGTTGATCGATCGAAGATGCATCGACCGATCGAGGATGGATTGATCGAACCTCTGTCTCTGTGTATGTGTATGTATCCATACATGCATGCATGCATGCATGCATGCATGCATGCATGCATATATCCATGTATGTATGTGTACATGTGTGTGCGTGCGTGTCCGTATATGGGTGTACGCCCGGATGATTGATGCCGTCAGGACCACATCCTAGACAATGCTTCAGGGCCCGTCCGCCGCGCGCTGCGTTGCACTCTTTCTACGGCTCGTCGCCTCGCGCCAGACCGCTGCCGCCAAAAAGTGTGTGTGTGTGTGTGTGTCTTTGTGTGTGTGTGTGTTCGCGTTTCGTGCATCCTGCATACGCCCCAATGCCAGCGCAGTGACTCTGCCCAGCCGCCAGCAGAAACAGTGAATGTGTGTGTCTGTGTGTGTGTCTGCGTTTCTTCCGCAACACAGTATGGTGATCGTTTTCTGATCCATTGTTTTGCCGATCGGCGCGTGCCCTCGCCCCCCCCTGCCCCCCCCCCTTGGAGTAGATGTTGGCTGTTTTTGGCGCCTGTTTCAAGCAGGTGGAAGCTCTCCCTTACGGGGCGCACTGTTGCAAACAGTCGCGTTAAGCAGAGGTCCAGAGCCAGACTCCCCGCCCCTTCACCCCCCCTTTCCGCCCAAAGTCGAAACGCAGAGAAAGAACACGTTGACATGGGCATCGCGCGGTGCCAGGCTGCGCCAGGCCGCACCGCGGGCCCTTGCCCAGCTCCCCACTCGGCAGCTGGGCGCTCGTTCTCTCGTCTTCGAGCTGCCGAGCGTTGTAAAGGACGATCAATGGAGAGGACGCATGTTGCCACATAATTTCCAGATGTCGAGAACATGTCGTAAACATGATTTAGACATATAAAACAACATGTTTTCACATGTTTAGAACATGTTGCAAACATTGTTTGAACACATATTCAGCTAAACGATAGGATTGTTTAGGGCATCCATCGAGATGGCATCCACAAGCCGAGCGGCTGGCTGGCGCTCAGCTCGGCTTCCACCAGAGGGCCGCCAGTCAGAGGAGGGGAAGGTACCGCTACCGCTACCCTGGAGATCCTGCTCATTGAACAAATCAAGGCGGACTGTTTCCGCAGTTTCCCGCCTGCGGGAGCCCTCGCCGGACCTCGGGACCGTCAAAGCACACGTGCATTCCAGTGCATTGCGCTGGCCATAGGACGAACAAGCTGTCCTGGCGAAAGGGTCAAGACTTCTGGGGACACCCGTATCCAACAACATGACGGCGGACCTCTGAGACCGTTCCTTCGTTCTCCCCCTTTTGGGGCCTCCTGGGAGGTCCCCGTCGCTACGGCTGAATTCGCTTCGGATTCCTGGTCAGACCGCACCCGGGGAGAGGCCCAGGGGGGGAGAAGCGACAGCGGACACTTCGGTGCTTCCGCCCAGGGTCCGCGGTTGGCAACCGTTCCAGGGCGTCTGGTCAGCTGCGCCGCGCCTCCCCCCCCAGCTGCCACGCAGAAAACAGGGGCGGTCCCTCGCAACCCGAGCGTCGCGTCTGCCTGCGGCACGCGCAGCATTCGGGCCGGACGAGAGGGGGGGGATGGGGAAAGGGGAGGCTACGAAGTCTGCTGCACGCAGCTGGTTTCGACCCCACCGAGGGGCCCATTCCTGGGTACATGGGCGCCTCCCAGCGCCGGGAGGCGCCGGGAAAATCAGCTACGTGAGGTGATTCTCACCCCCCCCCTTTTGCTATCCCCCTCCCTTTCGCCAGGCCCGAAACATACGTCGCCACACGGCTGATGTCCACGCGCCGAGATGCTAATCGCGTGGTGTATCATGTGCGTGCTGTGTGCCCGGGGTGCAGGCTGCTTTCGATTGGAGGGCCCGCTTGCGTCTTCTTCGTGCTTGCATGGGCAGTGCGTCGACCGCAGGTACCCAACGGAAGAGTGGTCCTGGCCCGAAGAGATGCCACACATGGGCACATTGATCAAGATGCTCCACAAGGCTCGCGGCCATATTTTCGTAGCATGCACGGCTGCTATCTTCAGCATGAGAGTTTCCCCTCAATCATCTCGCATGAAGGGCCACAGGAGGCCCGCTGGAGTGGTCCCAAGGCGTTCTGTGAGGCTCCCAAGTCACCGAGCCATCCTCTTCTTGCCATGTCTTCCGATTCCCTCCTTCCCCCTTTTACCTCCTCATTCCTTCTTGTTCTCTCCATCTTCCTATTATTCCTTCCGTTCGTCAAGAAGGAAACGGACACACCGTCAAGCAATGTCAGGTTTACCGCTCTTCTTGTGTTTCATCTTCCTCATATCATTTTGCTTTCACCCACTTATATGTTTCTACTCCACCCTCCTTCTCTCTCACCTCTCCTTCCGCCTTATCCTGCCTCATCCCTCCTTCTTGTTCTTCCTGCCCTCATTCAATTCCCTGCTCTTGCGTCCTCCTCTCCTCATTCCCTCGTCCTCCGTCTGCACCTTCCTGCTCACCATTGAAACGTCCCATCTGTATGCTCCCCCCTCCATCCTTTAGCTTCCCAGTTCTCTCGTTCATCCTCTTCCTCCTCCTTGATCTTCTTGAGGGGGCCCCGGCACGGCTTCGAGAAATGGGCAACACAGGAACCAGCATGTGGTGTTGTGTTTGCATCTCTTTCCGCACTCTTTCTCTCTCTCTCTCTCTCTCTCTTTATCGCAAGTTATGGCCACCTGTACTCCAAGCTTGGTATCCGTGGGCCTATCACGCTGAACAGCTGCATTGCTGCAGAATCGCATCACATGCATTCGATGCCCGCAGTATGGCATTCCCAAAGTCAGGAATCATCTTGCTTGCTTGGGTATACGATTCCCTGGCCCGCCCCGCAATCATAATGCCGTATATGCGTGGCTTGACTCGTTGCAGGACTGGTTGCCCACGGCGATATATTTGTTCATGCGAATGCATGCAAGTGTGTCGGTGGTGTAAGCGGGGCTTCGCCAGAGCGTACAGTGGGGGGAGTCAAGCGTTTTCTCGCGTTGAGTGGTGTTTGTGATCAAACGTCGCGCGAAGGTTTGGAGCCACGAAGGTAGTTCGGGGCTTGGACGCGACAGTCGATAGTACCCTCTCCTGGCCCGGGCACGGGAGCAAGCTGATGCGGCTCTCAGTACAACATGTGCCTCTTCGCGTTCTGCAGCGGCTCCGTCTCCTACGCGGACCGATGCCGTTTCTTCTCTCTTGGACGGGTGCGACGGGGACAGTGATCGCCCGGTTCCCCTTGAATGTGTTCAGTGTACTTGTCGCTGTTCGTCCACGCCTGCGTCGGGGCGGAGCGTGCTGTTTCCTCCGCGGCGCCGTGCTCTCGGTCGTCGCGTTTTGTCTGTCTCGACGACCTCTCTCGTTCATGACGGCGTGTGCGCGCGTCTCCCTCCTAATCTCCCTGTCTCTCTCTCTCTCTCTCTTTCTCTCCTTGTACCTATAGTTCTCTCTCTCTCTCTCTCGCTCGCTCTCTCTTGCTTGCTCTCTCTCTCTCTCTCTATTCTCTCTCTCTCTCTCTCTCTCTTTCTCTTTGTCTTTCCTCATATATATACACGTATTATATATATGTATGTCTCTCTCTGTCTTTCTGTACCCGTCCCTGTCCCTGTATCCCTCTCTCTATCTCTCCCTCTCCCTCTATGTGTATATATATATATATATCTATCTCTCTATCTCTCTATGTGTTCATCTAGTAGACACCCCCCCGAGCAATGCTTGCCTTCACGCACGCGGGTACCTCCCTGTGGAGCCACGGAACCGGGCCTGCGGGCCGGTCCGGCGGCTCCGCGGTCGCCGTCGCCGCCCCGTCGCCGCCTCGCCGCCGCCTCGTCGCCCAACTCCCTGGTTCTCCGACCTAGGAAGGAGTGAGGATCTATTGCCCTCCCGCCCCTTATGGTGTGCGAATTTGATGTGAAATGGCCCTTCCGTTCGTTTGACATTGGAGTGAAGATGGTTCTGGCCGAGCCAGTTTCGCCCCTCTTGTTTCACCCATTGCAGAAAACCCGATGCGCTCACACGCGCTTATCACAAATTAGCTTTTGTCAGTACTCCTTCAACAAACGGGGCGAAGTGCACACGCACGCGTTGTCGCCGCGCGTGCCGGAATCTTTCAACCACTTCATGATCGGAGCCTAAGAAACGGGGGTCAATGCAGACGGGGGTCAGCCAGGGCACCAGATCTTGCAGGATTTTGCGAAGACTCCCTTTGGCTGACCCGGGTTAGCGAGCCGCTCGTGGCCGCGAGGCGGCCGCGCCTATTGGTTGACCCGGGTTTGCGAAGGCCTGCGTTGCAGTTTTTGTCCCTGCATTTTCCTGCTGACCCGTGTGTGGATTGACCCGGGTCAGAAGATCCCTGACAGGATTCGTAAGGATTTCAAAACCGATTGCCCCGAACACATGCAACAACATTGTTTTGCGATGTGCTTTGTCGAGGTAGGTCTGTTCGCGTCTCGCGCTCGTTGGAAGCCATCGTGTGTCCAACTCTACCAAGCGTGCCTCTCGCGCTCGCGTGTCGAAACCATTCGAACGCCTTTGCGCACGTGCTGGGGGGGGGGGGGGGCGACCCCGAACAAGCAATACACCCCGTCGGCCGCGCGCGCATGCTCAAACCTTCCCCAAAAACGTATCCCCGATTCCTCCTAATTTGCGAGAGCTGTGAGACAGCTAGAGCCCTGAGAATTGCACCATCGAGCGCGCCATGATCGACTGCACGGCGCAAAAATCTGGATTTTCAAAACGAATTTTGAACTCTCGGACAATCTTCGAAAAACCGACCCCAGGTTGACATATTGTCCGGTCTGGCCAGGTCGCCCAAATGGGAGCCGGCGGTAAACCGTCAACCAGGTTTCGGGAGCCTCGAGACAGGGGTCAGTGCAAACGGGGGTCAGCCAGGGCGCCAGATCCTGCAGGATCCTGCGAAGACCCCCTCTGGCTGACCCGGGTTAGCGAACCGCTCGTGGCCGCGAGGCGGCCGCGCATATTGGCTGACCCGGGTTTGCGAAGACCTGCATTGCAGTTTTTTTTTCCTGCATTGCAGTTTTTGGTTTCCTGCTGACCCGGGTCTGGATTGACCCAGGTCAGAAGATCCCCGAAGGTTACCGCCGGGGCTCTCGTAGTGTTCTCAACACGCACATCAGCGCCCAGATAACGAGGAGATAACGTTCTCGAATGTCAGCTTGAAAACTACCAATATATACTTGTGGGTTTATACGACGTCAGTTGCTCAAAGTCTTTCGATCGTAATACTGCAGCTACGGACCCGCGCGGGCACCATCCTCGTCCTCGGCTTGCTCAGCATCGGCGCCGTCATTGGCCTTGCCGTCGTGATCGCCATCGTCGCCACCGGTCTCTATCACCATCGCATCTGCCGCTGCCGGCGTCGCCGTGCTACCGCGCCCGCCAGAGGCACCGACTCGCACCGGAGTGCCCGCGCGCCCCGCGCGGCCTGCGAGGCGCGGTGGGAGGTGCCCAGCGGTCAGCGCCATCGCGACCACCTTTGGCGCGCCAGACCACAACGGTGGGGGCGTTGGTGATAGTCCCAGGAGACGCCAGACCTTGGTGGATTCCTTATCTGATGAGGGCGGCTGTGTTATCCATGGCCGATCCACGATCGGAGTGGATTCCTTATGTCAGGGTTCCCTCTCCAATGCCCTCACCGTCCGTAGCCATTTTGGCTCGAGGCCATGGAGCGCCCGACGACCGCGAGTCGTCCGCGGCGTGTTGAACGCGAGGGGCTCTGCGCCTTGGGCCAAGTGCACGTGCTGGGATCATGGGTTTGCGTGCGCGGCGGCGGCCCCGTGGGGCGGCGCCTCCTGCGGCTGCGGTCGCTGCTGGCGCCGGCGGCCGCGGCGACGGCTTCTATTGGATCTGCGCCAGCCGCGCTTGCGGGCAGTGGAACTACTGCACCCGCAGCGCGCGCCCCGGCTGCAAGGCCAAGGCGCCGCCCTGGGCCGCCCGCCTCGCGCCCAGGCAGCCCGAGGTCGACGGCGACGGCTGGGCGCGCCCAGGCAAGGGCCAGCGAGGGCGCCGCAAGGCTCGAGCCGTGGCAGCAGCCGCGCCCGCCCCAGCGGACGGCTCGGACGTTGGCACGTTCGACAGCGCGTCCTCTGCTTCGGACGCCAGCGGGAGCATGGGGGAGCTCCAGAATGCCATCGAGCACCTCGAGGCCTTCCCCGATCCTTCGGGCCTCGGCGCGGCGCTCGTGGACGAGCAGCTGGTGGCCCTCCGAGCTCAGCGCGACGCCGCGGCCGGCAAGGAGGCAGGCCTCTCGCGAGCTGCCAAGCTTCGCAGGGGGGCCTACTCCGCCAGCCGCGCGGAGAAGAAGGCTGCGGGGGCGCGCCGAGCCCTTGCCGACGTTGCCCAGGCCGTCGCGGGCGCCGAGGCCGAGCTGCAGGCCGCGCAGGAGAAGCTGGCGAAGGTCGAGGAGCAGCAGCTGGCGGCGAAGGAGCGGGCCGACTCCGCGGAGGCAGCGGCGGCGCAGGCGCGCGACGGCCAGGGGCGCTCGGCGTCGGAGAGCGACCTCGCGGCCATGCGGGGGCTCTTCGCGAAGCCCCCTACGCTACCGACGGCGCGCGCGGCCGGCAACTTCGCGCGTGCGCGCGTGGGAGGGCGCGATGCAGCAGATGGCGGCGGTGGAGGGCACGTTCCCCTTGGAGGAGAGCAAGGCGCAGCCGCAGGCGCGCGAGCGCTGGGTGGACAGCTGCCCCCTCGACGGCGGCGCGGTCGACACGGACTCGGACGTCGACTTGCTGGGGCCGCGGCCGGCCGAGGAGCGCGGCCAGGCGGCTCGGCGCGGCGCTGCAGCAGGTGCCTGGACCAAGGTCGCGCCAGGGCTGGTCAGCGCGCTTGCGGCGGAGGCTGCGGACGTGGGCCCGCTGGCTACTGTCTCCAGCTCGGCTGCGGGCGACGCGGCGGGCAAGCGGGCCCTCCAGCACGGCAGCGCGGCGTCTCGCCTTGGCGGAATTTACCTTGCCTGAGCTGGGCGCCGCCGCCAGCGTCGTCACGCTGAACGGCTCGTCCCGGGCTCAGGCGCGGACCGCGCTGGAGCAGCTTCGGAGGGCTGGCTGCTCGGACGACCTGATCTTGGTGCGGGAGACCAGGTTCGTCTCGGAGCGCGCCTCGGAGTCTGCTCGCGGCTGGTGCCGACGCAGCGGCCCCCAGGCCGCCTTCGGCCTGCGCGCCCACGCTGGGGCGAAGGCGCAGGAGGCGTCGTCGGGCGTGGCCATTGTGACGGCCAGCTTCCGCGGAGCGGCGAACATTGAGAACGACTGGGGCGAGCTCGCTTCCAGGATCGCGGCTCGCAGGGCTGCCTTCGGCGACTTGGTGGCGGTCGCGGTCAACGTCTACCTTGAGCACTCGACCCGCTTGTCAGGGATCAACCTGGAGCTGCTCGGGTGGCTGCAGGTGTTCCTCGACAGCCTGCGGGGGCCGCTCATAGTCGACGGCGACTGGAACTTGGAGCCGCGGGAGCTTGCTGGATCTTGGTGGCCGCGCGTTGTCGGGGGCGCAATCTTCGAGCCCGAGCAGCCGACGCGCCTGGCCAGGAAGTGCGACTTCTTCGTGGTTTCGGCTTTGGCGGCTCGGGAGCCGAAGGTCGAGGCGATTCGGCCCACCGCGCTGCGCCCCCATGCACCTGTGCGCCTGTCCTTCGCCCGCTGGGGAGCCTCGGCGGAGGTTTGGGCGCTGCTGTCGCCTCGGCACTTCGACCTCGGGTCGGAGGTCACTCCCGAGGCGCGGGCCGAGGCGCAGCGGGCGGCTGAGGCCATCGGCTGGGAGGCCCCGCTGCTGGACAAGCACGGCCTGCCCGACTCTGCGGTGAAGGAGTTCTACGACGTGGCGGAGCAGCACCTCATCGACCTACTCGACTTAGGCGACGCCGGCTCCCAGCATCGTGGGCGCGCTCGTGGGGTTCGCCGAGTCAAGAAGGCCTTCGAGGGTCCGCAGCGCACCGAGACGGCCCGGAAGGTGAGCAGCTGGCAGCAGCGGCAATGCTGGAGGCGCCGGGTCATGAGCACTTGGCCTACATGCGCCACCTGGAAGCAGCTGCTGTCTCGTTGGTGCCGAGCTTCGTCCAGTATGGCTGCAAGATGTTCACCGAGTCGAACGCGCGGCTGCTGTCAGCAGAAGTGCGTGCGTCTTCGAATTCGGGCAGCTTCTTCCTCGGGGCCATAGAGGCGGCCACTGCCAACCGAGCTCGGGCTGATGCCCAGGCCACTCGCGCGCGCTGGCGCGACCTCGTGCGCGGCGCTCTGGCGGCTGGCGGGCGCGGCGCGCATGCGGTCAGCAAGCCGCCTGCTGCTGAGGCGAGCGCTGTGATGTCGGACGGTGGGCCTGAGTTCCCGCCGGCGCCACTGGTCGGGCAGGCTGCGCTGGAACAGACTCTGCCGGAGTGGCGGCGGCTCTGGTAAGACAGGCGCGGAGCCGGCGAGCCCGCTGGAGGCGGCGGGGCCAGGGCAACCATCCCGCCCGCTGAGTGGAAGGCCGTCATGGAGCTGCCTGGGATCACGGTGGATGAGGTGATGGCCGCTGCCAAGACCTTCCTCAGGCGGACGGCGTTTGGCCGGGGCGCCTTGAACCCCCGCCTGCTGCTGCTACTGGGCCGACCCTTTGCGGAGCGAGTGGCTGAGGTGCTCGCGGCGTGGGGGCGCGACCCCAAGCCGACGGTGCTCTTCGCCGCCCTGATCGTCTTCCTCGGCAAGCCCGACGGCGGCAGGCGCCCGATTGGGCCGATGGCGTTCTGTTTGCGACTTTGGGGACGTATCCGCAGGAAGTACTGCGCTGCCTGGGAGAAGCAGCATCCGATGTTTGATATGCGGGGCTCCAGCTCGGACACCAGCTGCGACAGGGCGGCCTACCTGCGCAACCTTTCCCTTGGTCTGGCCCGCGCGAAGGGCTTTGATGGGGCCTCGGTCTACTTCGACATCAGCAAGTTCTATGAGTGGATTCGCTCTGCTGAACTGGAAGTCATCATCTCCACTGCTCGCGCAAACATCTCGCCCGCCCACCCGCAACCTGATTTGCAAAACCTGTTAAGACCGACGACAACGACTAGGACGACACCGACGACGACTTCGACGGCAACGACGACGACGAAGACGACGACGACGACGCCAACGAAGGCGACGACGAGGAAGGAGGAAGGACGACGACGGCGACAACGACGACAACGACGACAACGACGAGGGAGGAGGGAGGACGGCGACGACGCGAACGACGACGAAGGAGGCAGGACGGCGACGCCGACGACGACAACGACGAGGGAGGAGGAAAGACGACGACGACAACGACGACGACGACGGCGACGAAATAGGAGGGACGACGACGAGACGCCGACGACGGACGACGACGACGACGTGGGAGGAGGAGGAAGGACGACCGCGGCGACAACGACGACGGAAACGACCACGACGCCAAAGAGGACGACGACGACGAACACGAGAAAAGACCGAGGACGACGTAGGCGACGACGACGACGACGACGCGGGAGGAGGGAGGACGGCGACGACGACGACGACGACGACGACGCAAGAGCGCGCGCGCACGTTGTTGTTGAAAATCCGTGTTGCGAAACCTTTGGGGTTTTTGTAGGTTTTTTGGACGCACGATTTTGAAATCCTTCCGAAACCGACGTGTTCTGAAGTTTTTTCGGCATACGCCCGCGACGACGCGCGCGTCTGCATTTCGTCACATTTTTTGCAGAGGTTTCTCGCGACGGCACACGCGCAAGGGCTTTCGACAGATTTCGACATGCGCGCGCGAAGCCCGTTTGGTGGCATTTTGTGAAAATCTTGAAAAACCTCTGGTTTCCTTATTAAGATTTCGCAAGAGCTCGCGCGGAAGCTTTTTTTAGCAACTCAGTGTTGCGAAACCGTGTGGTTTTGTATGTTGCGTTTGGAAACTCGATTGCGGAATCATTCTGGCACCGAAGGTTTTTGCAGGATTTCGGCATGCGCGCGCGACGACGCGCGCGCGCGCACTTCGCCCCACTTGTTGCAAGGGATTTGCGAAAACAAGTGCTATGTTAGAATGAACAATGTCACCGCAAAGTGTGTCTGTACAAGGGAACCTCAGGGGGGGGGCCCGGTTTGGCTGGGATGGTATGATTTCATAATTCGGATGGACGAGTGTGCAGAGTATATATATATATAAATACATACATATACACATATATATATACATATACGAAATCATATTATCCCAAGGGGGTGCCGATAAGTCCGGGGGGGGGGGGTGAGTCTATTTTTAATCTCGGAAAGAGAATCGACCACCAACTGCCGAAAGGAAGCGGCCGAGGCGAACGACTTCAGCGTCTGCCTGGTGCGGGCCTTGTGCGTTGCGTACGCGGGCCCGCGGAGGGCCACCGTTGATGGCGCGGTGAGCGAGGATATCCATGCTGTCGGCTTGGTGATAGCTGGTTGCTCTTGTGCTACGACTCTCTCGCGGCTCATGCTGTGCGATCTGTTGCTTCGTGGACGCGCGCTCCTGCAGGTCGGCAGAATGGCCAGCGTGATCGACGATGTGGCGGGCCATGGCATTGGGCCGAGGAGAATCTTAGTGCGGCAGATCTCCCAGTTCGCGAACGGGGTCGTTCAGATGCTGGAGGACAAGCGCTTGCCCATTAACTGGGGCAAGACCAAAGCCCTGAATTCGTCGGTCTCGCTGCAGGGGGACTGGCCCAGGGGAGGCGGCCCCTTCCTGCTGCTGCTTTCGTGTCGGGCCGCCGCGACCTGGGTGGCGATGCCACTGCTGGCGGCCATCGCCGCGTCGCGACGCAGGTGGCCCGCGAGCTGGCGGCCCTTCGCCAAGCGGCCCGCCTTGCCCGCATCTTCGGGCCAGGGCTTCGACAAGCCAGAGTGATGCGCGCGGGGCCGACCGCCGAGGCGCTCTGGGGCTCGGCGACCTCTGGAGCGCCACCTGGCAGGACGCGGGCGCTCAGGGTGGCCGCCGCCAAGGGCGCAGGGCGCCTGCCCCCTGGAGCGGCCCTCAGCTTTGCGCTGCAGTGCGGGCCCCGCGGTTGGCGGCAGGACTCGCTGGTCATCGCGACGGGGATGGCGGCCCAAGCTTTCTGCAGCGCGACCCGGGCGCGCCAGGCCTGGCCGGCCGCGGTGCAGGCTTCCCTGGCGGACGCGGCGAAGCTGCAGAGGAGCCAGCGCCCCTGGGCTGCGGTGCGCGACCCGATCGCGGCGCTGGCGCCCGCCCTGCAGCGCATCGGGCGGCAGCTTACCGCTGGAGGCGCACGCGTCCAGGATGAGCAGGGCTTCGAGTTCGATGCCATCATTTTCTCGCCTTCTTTCTTGGCGGAGCGTGCCCGCGACGAGGAAGGCGGCGGCCCTTGAAGAGGCTAGAGCCCGCCCTGGGTCTCTCTGGCCTTGGAGGCCGCCGCCCGCCTGGAAGCCCATCAATGAGCTTCTGGGCCGTGCAGTCTTCGAGGCCTGGACTAGCCATCACAGGGGCTGCCTGCGCTGGCGGGCTTTGCCGGCGCATTGGCCGCAGGCGCGGCTCGCGCGGCGCCGGGGGGACATCTGCCCGAAGCGCTTGCTGCGCAAGGCGGCCGAGGGCTCGGTCCACCATCGGCGCTTCGAGTGCCCCGCCTGGCTGTCCTGGAGGCGCGATCGGCTGCCGCCGGGGCTGAAGGCTTCGGCGAAAAAGGCCAACAACATCGGAGCACCATTCGGCGAGCTCTTCGCCCAGTGCCTTTTCGTGGACGCCTCCCGGTTGCTGCAGCGGCCGCGCTGGCAGGCGCACTGGGAGTGGCGGCAGGTTGGCTGGGCCCCATGGCGGTGGCCGACGGGGCGCTGGCGTTCACCGACGGCTCCTGCTTACATGGGAGCTTCCCATCGCTGTGCTGCGCGGGCTGGTCGGCCATCGCGACCCCGGCCAGCGGCCATGTGCTGGCCCAGGCGTGGGGGGCGGCCCCGCCCGAGCTGCTGCCCAACCAGTCGGC